TTTGAGGTAGGGTTTTGGTTGAGGAAGCAAGAGCCATTTCCTGCCTTCAGCGAGGACCCTCCTTGAGGGCCTCCCCCACCAGTTATCCAATAGTGACACTCACCTCGGCCCCTCCGCTGACTCCCGCAGTGACAGCTGGAGGGCTAGGGGGTGTGTTCTTGCTCCCCAGTCTGGTCTCCCAACCTCCACCCTCCACTCTCACCCAGAGAATCGACTTGTTCCTGCCACCCCTCCTCCCCAGGACAGGATCACTGAGGGGCTGGGGCTGGCTCTGAGAGACCCGCCAGGTGAGGGGGTGGTGCTGACTTCTGGAGCTTACCGGAGCTTTCAAAAATGGCTTCAGATCTTCTCCTTGGGCCACCTGTAAAGACCTCTTTACCCTCTGAAATCCACCTCCCCTCTTTTCCCTCACCTGAACCTGGTGGGGACATCACATGTGCAGCTCCTGGGGAGAGGTGATGGGGAGAGGTTGGGTGGGCCAGGGCCCAGGTAGAAGCTGCCATGAGAAGAAGTTGAGCAAGGATGTATTTTCTCCTTAGGGTGTGTGGCCGGTCCCAGAAGGAGCTGCCTGGGTTGCCATGAGAGAGACCTTGGAGGCCCTCAGCTCCCTGGGTGAGCCAGCGGAACCCGGGAGGAACCTGGGGTGGGCGTGGGGATTCCGAAGCCTGTTGGGCTTGTTGCTTCTCTACAATAAAGAAAGGAGAGCCATCCTCAAAGACCGGGACCCCAAGACACCTGAGACCCCTGGAACTTTTAGGGCAGTATCCTTTTGGGTTTCTTCAGGGTGTTTGTGAATACCTGCCCACACTGGAGGTTATGCTAGATTGTACGTGCACATGCGTACTCCTAGAGCATCAGGATAGTGAATCCACCTCCTTCACCTGTGCTTGACTCAACACAAAGGGGCTCAGGTTGACACCTGGCCAGACTGCTGGGAGCTTGGCTGTCCCTTGTCCGTGCTGACTAGGGACCCTCCCTACCTGAGCAAGTTGGGGAAAGTCCCTTGGGTGAGCTGGGGGGAAGGGGAAGAGCCCCTGCCTTTGGTCACCTCTCTCTACTGGATGCTTACTTGGACCCATCCTTCTACCTGCAACAGGATTCTCTGTGGGACAGCCAGAGATGGCCCCCCAAAGTGAGCCTGGGGAAGGCTCCCATAATGCACAGGAGCAGATGTGCCCGCCCAGGGAAGAGAGAGCGCTGGGCTCCTCTTCCTGTTCGGGTAAGTGGGGACCCTGGATGGAGGCTCAGGGTGGAACCGTCCTTCATCGTCCTTTCTTCAGCAAATATGTATTGAGCACCTGCTTAATGCCAAGTGCCATTCTGGATATTTGGCATACCTCAGTGACCAAATAGACAAAGACGCCTACCTTCCAGGAGCTTAATCCTAGTGAGGGCAGGGAGTCCACCCAATGTAAAAACAACTACACGTATAAACCCTGTTAGGAGAGGATGCGCGCTAGGAGGGGATAAAGCAGAGTGAGGAGAACAGACTGCTGTCGGTGGGTGGAGCAGAATAAGCCTAAATAGGGTGATGAGAATAGGCCTCCTTGGGAAGCTAGGAGCAAGATTTGAAACAGGGAAGTGGCTAAACCAAGAGAAGATACCCAAGGAAGGGATGTGCCTGGCTTTTTGACATCACTATCTTCTCCCATGATTTGCCATGGAACAGCGTCCATCTGGTGGCAGGGAGGTCCCCAGCCCTCCTCCAAGGAGCCTCATGCAAGCTGAAGGGCAGGGCCTCTACTTGCACACACACACATATTCCAGAAACTCCTCACCGTTGTGGCTTTAGCAACCATGCAGTGCCTAAGCAGCTGCCCCGCCTGAAGGAGCCTGAAGCTGCTCCAGGCCACTGAGAACTCAGCCCCTGAAGGTATGAGATGGGCTGGGTGCAGTCTTCACCTATAGGGCTGGAACTGGGGTTTCAAACTCCCCTGCTTCCTAGCATCAGTGGGGCGCTCTGTCCATCTGTGATGTCTGCAGTGGCCTGAGGTAGCTTGTTCTCTGCCAGGGCACAAGGCCCCCAGACTGGAGGAAGATGCCCACCCTGAACAGGCTGAGGCTCCCTGCAGAGGAAGCCAGGCACACACACCACGGAAGGCTGAGCCTGTGGGCTCCTGCCCAGGTGAGTCTTCCATCAGCAGGGGACAAGGTGGAGGGAACAGGGGCCCTGTAAGCTCCAGAGCTGCTATCTGATGTGGCAGCCACTCCAGGCCCTTCCAACACAAGATGAATCAGGCCCTGGCACCTTTCTGCTCATAGAGCTTCAGCACCCAGAGGGAATTCTGCATCCATAGACAACAGGAATCAGCAAGGCCGATCCAGGAGAAACACATCATCGTGTCAATATACTCTAGAAGTCCTAACTTCCCCCATCTCTGCCCCAGTCTAAGTACAGACTTGTAGATGGCCTGAATTATAATTTCCATGAAAACATGGTGCGTTGATTAACTTTTTCATTTCTCTGCCCAGACATGCTCCCTCCCCCACATCTCCACTGATCTCAGTGGTACCCAAATGCTCCACATCTGTTGTGTTTGGCTCATCTCCCCCATACCCAGGGCGATGGAACAGTTGATTCTCTCTCTACAATCCTGCCCATCACTTCCTTCCACTAGCACCAACCTTATCATCATTTGCCTGAGAGATGTCATTTATTCCACAAGGATTTTTTTTAATGTCTACTAGGTCTAGGCCCGTGGTCAGCAAACTGTGTCTCACAAGCCACATGCGGCTCTTTGGCCCCTTGAGTGTGGCTCTTCCACAAAATACCACGTGCGGGCGTACACATACAGTGCGATTGAAACTTCATGGCCCATGCGCAGGACTCTAGGCTGTTAGGTAGAGTGGAAAGAGACAGGGTCTAAAGCAATGCAGACCTGTTTGAATCCTTGTTCCACATCCCCTAGCTGAGTAATCTTGGATTGGCTATCTCACCTCCAGGAGCCTCAGTTTGTTCATCTGGAAACAGGGTAATTTCATGTTTGTTGTGAAGGCTTGTGATAATGTATACACAGTACATCTATAATTGGCATTCAATAAATGGTGGCCATTTTCATTTTTATTAGACACATACACATTTTTATTAGATACATAGGAAATAGGACACAAGAAGTTGGCCTTCCAGAAGCTTAAACCTAGTTGACACTAATATGAGCTAGAATAAAGAATTAACATAACAATAAAGCCTTGTCACAATGAGTATTAACAGAAAGTGCTACAGGCACTGGATTTGTTGAAGATTTTGATTTGTGCTGCATTTTGAGAAAAGTGTAACCTTCAGCTCTCATGAGGGTGGGTGGAGGATGGGAAAACATTCTAGACTAAGAAAAGACTACAAGGCAGGAAAGTTGACATGTGACTGGAGTTAGAGCAGACCAGCCTGGCTAAAGTAAAGGGCTTATTCCTGGGATAAAAAGAAAGTTGCACCTCAGATGCAGCTAGAACTTACTTTATCCTGTTAATAGGGAGCCACTGCTGGTTCTTGAGTAGAAGAGTGACACAATAAAAAAGAAAGCAATATCACAACAGGATAAATAGTTGTTTGGAATTGATAGGTCAATAAAAGAGACTGGGAATAAATGCAGTTGTGACAGTCCATGTGTAATGTAACCAAGCCTCAGGCTATTACAGACTTTTAGAGCCAGACAGGAACTCAGATCATCTGGTTCAATGGTTCTCAAACAAGAATCACTTTGGGAGCTTTAAAGAGAACAGATTCATGTGCTCTGCTCCCATAGATGCATTCTGTAAAAGTTCCCCCAAAAGATTATGACGTGGCACCAGGTTTAGGAACTATGAACTAGTCCAATCCTTATCCCTAAGCAAACTAACAGACTTAGCTCAAAGAGGTAAGTTAACCAAGGTTACATTGCTGGTTAATGACAGAGGAGAACCCAAGTGGACACTGAATCTTGGGCCTTCAGCTCCTTCCTGTCGGCTGAGCCATGCTATTTCCCACGAGGGGCCAAGCTCCAGGAAAACCCACATCGAATCTGCTTCCCAAGAGGCCCTCCCTGCTTCTCCAGAGGTCAGCACCATTCAGTGGTTCCCTGTACACACAATCCTGTCTAAAGTGGGACTTCCCACCCAGCTGTAGAAGCAAGAAGGAAGGGAGTTGGAGGGAAGGGGGCTTGAGAGACAGCAGGACGGAATACAAAGCCCACTGTGTAAAGTCTGAGAGCAGGGGAAGCTCAAAGGTTCTGAGCCCAGCATCTGGGAGAAGGAAGCTGCAGTTCTCATTAAAGTAAGCGGGTAGGTCTGGAAAGAGAAGCTGTTTGGAGCTACAGCCAATTTTCAGGACTCCGTCCGGGAGCTGCTCAACCGAAGTTGAGAGACTGTGGTTCCAGAAAGGAGCCTGCTAGACAGGAAGATCTGGGACGGCTGCCATGGGCATATGAACCCAGAGTGATGCCTGAGGTCTGAACCTTGAACAACATTCATGTTCAGAGGCAGGGAAAGCGCTCTGATCAGTGCTCCTATCGACATGGGCAAACCTGGGAGAAAGCCCCCTGCAGGAGGGGGCATGGGCGGGGGTCACCAGGCGTCCTGTCTGCAGAGAGGGGAAGATACTCGGATTTGGTCATTCCCCAGTGGACAGAACAGAAGCCAGAATGCGGGGCTCCAGGAAGGGGTGGTCTACTGGCAAATTGAACGTTGCATAAATAAACGTGGGGCTTAATAGACTTGTCTTGTTTTGGCTTTTCAGGAGAGGAGTGGATGATTCGGAAGGTGAAGGTGGAGGAAGAGGATCAGGAGGCAGAAGACAGAGTCGAATGGCCCCAGCATCTGTCACTACTGCCCGGCCCCTTTCCCACACCTGACCTGGGGCCTCTGGCCGCCGCCTATAAGCTGGAGCCGGGGATCCCCGGGGCCCTGGGCGGGCTCTCGCTGGCCGGGTGGACTCCTGCCTCAGAGAAGCCCTATGGCTGCGCCGACTGCGAGCGGCGGTTCAGGGACCAGCTGACCTTGCGGCTGCAT